TGGCCTAATGGCACCGGAGGTCAAGAATGTGGCAGTTCTATGTGTCACAAGGCTAACTGAAAAGGATTACCAATCTTTAGCAGGCAAAACAGTAAACATAATTTAAATTGTCTATTTTGCCATTGGCCTAGAATTCTGCTTTAATAAGTCCACCATACATATTACAGTCTTTATTTCCAAAAACGTTAGGTAATTTAGGTAAACCTTCATATTACAATCAATTTGGATCCAATCAGGCAGGCAGTACATTTAAAGAGGATGTTTATCCTAGAAAAATCCCATGAAAATTAAACCTGGTACCTTGATAAATACATAGCACCAGGTTTGTCTTCTGTCCACGCTCTGCTTGCCCAGAAATCAGCATTGGAAACTGCCAACCATTGACGAGTAACAACTCATGATGTCACTCAGCCCTCTCGTGCCATCTACATCTTTGACAGGAACAGAGGAAGTATTTCCAATTAAGGCTTTACAATCACAAGATGTAGGCCGACCATAGTTGGATTGAATTTCGTCTGGTCCCTGCTGAACCAGCTGAGATTCTTTCCATCTATGGGCAGGCTGGTTGTACTAAAATCGATCAACCAGTGGTGGAAGGAAAGACAATTGTGTAATCCATGGCTTGCTTTAGATAGCATTAGGGGGGCTAAGAGACACCATGAGTTGCATGGTGTTGCCGGTAAATGGAAATTCAATGTCCATTGCTGGAGCACCAGAGCACACAGGTCAAACATGGTGTTATGTATTTATCAAGGAACATGTGTTATAGGGCTAGTTAATGTTCATAGGGTAACCCTAGACTTAAATGAACCCAAGTCTATGCTGAACCAAGCCTATTTTACACCTCCCCTCTATTCAATCAGCTAAGCCAATGATGAAAGTGGTGCGATATGTACCTATCAGAATCTCAATGCTTTCTCTGCCTGCCATCACCAGAACACAACCATGGCGTTAGGACACCTACTCTAGTATAAAAGCAGGATCTGTTTTCAGTAGTTTGCTAGCTATGTCTTAACACCCTACTTTTATGGGGAACACGTGACCTAATACCTAGGGCTCTGTTCAGGTGTTGGCAAAGAAAACCTGGAGCTAGGCGCAGGTAAGTACACAGTTTTCACCATCAGATCAGGTGACAAAATAGCAAGGGCAAGTGTGCAAAGTATTATGTTTAGTTCACTTGCTAGATCCACTTTTAGAGGGACTCTAGAAATTTACTAATCACATCAACCAGACCACTGGTTAGCAAGAGACTTGACTACTTGTTGACAACTTTGTATGCGGACATTAGTGAAGGAAATTAACAAGGCATTAAGCCGGCTATAAACGAATTAAATTTTTACAGACTCCTGCTGGATCAGCTAAAATGGGAGCTGTAGGTGACCTGGTCGACACCTCCCAGCTCAACCAAAGTCCATTTACAAATCGACTGAGCCCGACAGAAAATAAGCTGAACAGTGATTTCATTCTCTGCACTGGTAATTCAGACAACCAAAAGGGGCTGGCTATATGTATATCATAGTCAGCAGCAGAGATTCCCTCATCTACTCTAGTTAGCATGGATGGAGGGATCTATTGATCCCCTCTCAGCCATGGGCCGAATGAGAGAAATCTATGTGTATATGGCTAGCCTTAAGATTCTTGCTGACAAGCCGTTAAAATAGTCTATAAAACCTTTGCTTGAAGCAACCATATCCTAATGCACATTCATTCCTGGGGCAGTGAAACTAAACCAATTAAAAATTCTGTAACTGCAATTGGTATCCATTACAAAAAAAAGGAGATAAAGGGGATATAATGGCCGTCATTATTGAGCCAACCACACCCAATTGCTCCATGATGCCACACTACAATAAACATTTCTGTAAGTTACATATATTTGTTTTTTTCTGCCAGGAGTTGGCATTGCACAGCTGATCAGTATGGGGAGATTCTTGCCAGTAAGTAGCAGTGTTTTCTATTTTCTGCCAAAATAAATGTTTTAGCACCCACCAAAAGTGACAATAGGAACTTTACAAGGAAAGCAAATTTATTTAAGTGCCCATTAAACCTCAACTCCAGGGAAACATTTAATTCTGTAAAAGGATAGCAAAGGGCTAAAAACTCTCTGTAGGGTATTTAGTGCCCCTATTGGGAATGTTCTGTCTGACACCCATCAGACAGGAAGTGAAGGAAAATCTCCCAAACAGCTAAAACACCATAAAAGCTTTATTTTAACCCTCCCCACCCAAAACAATAAAAATACTGTGGTCAGAGTTGGGCTTTAAGTTTAGTGTCAGCAAGGTATATCTTAAAGCAGGCACTCAAAATATAAAAACGGTTTTCCCAAAAGCTGATGCAGACTAAGATGGTTATTTTGTCTAGAGGACGATGTAAAGCTAGAAAAGCTTGCTTTTCTCTACAGTTTCATGGCAGCTGGTACTCCTACACCGATGTTCTTTATCATCCCACAATTTGCTGTGGCCACTGGTCCTGCATTGTAACTGATGATGTCGGCAAGAGGGGAAGTGACACAGTCAGACATTGGCAAGAAGGGAATCTCCGTGGGACTGCTTGTCACTACTGGAAATGGAGTGTGGGACCATGGAGTAAGGCAAGTATTACTCAGTCTTAGATCATCTCCATGACAAAACGGGCACAATACTTCATTTTGACCTCCAAGAGATGTTATACAAATTTTTTTTATATTGCTTTTGTCTTTTTTTTTAAGTCTAGAATAAAGCAGTAGCATAAAATTACCAAGTCTAATATACAGATATAAATTACACGTATAAAAGTCCAAGACGGTGCCAAATATGTAAATTACAATAGGATGTCTTTGAATTATGCAACTTTAACAAATAGTTTTTCTTATACAAAACAGTTTTTAAAAATCCTTCATTTTTATTAACATGTAAAACTAGAGAGATTTCTCAAAGAATATTCAGAATATTTTATGGGCCTGGAAAAAAAAAAAAAACAAAAAGTGCCAGAAAGGCACCAACGTTTTAAGTCACAAAGCTATCACACAGTAAGGCACATTGGCACAGCTCGAGTGTTTCTAAGGCATCTTGAAGGAGGACAATATTTATTGTGCTTTTACAAGGTCCTGTGCAATGGCATGACTTCTTTGTAGAGAGCTCTTTAGGCAAAAGGTCTCTATTGATTTGGAGACTTTGCACTTTAAAACTTTGCAGACGTAGTAAAACTTTGCTGGAATTTGTATTCCTATTGAGAAACCAAGGTTATATGATCTTCCTCTGAGTAATTATGTAAACGTGCAAGTCTTGTTCAGTTATGCAGAATGTTACCAGAAAGGGTTATTTACAGCGGTCATGCAACACAACGTAACAATTGTTTTTCCCTTCATTATATGCATAACCCTCTGAGGGCTATTTAATAATTTTCCTAGGTTATTACGTGGCCATCTTCTAATCAGTGTATGACTTAACTAAAAAAAATGATTTTTTTCTTTTGTCCTGTGAGAAAAAAAAAAATGTACTAAGTCAGTCTCAGTTTAAAGTAAATTTGTCAATACCCAAACATCGACAAGACTTCAAAGCAGAAATAAGCTGCATGCATATCACTTTGGATGTATTACTTTGCATCCCAGGTGTGCCAAATCCTAGGCCTCTGTAACTGACAAGCCTAAACGTGTTAAATGTTGTGGCTGCCTCCTCCGACATGTTCCTATTGGTCAATCAGTATGATAGGCAGCTTTACTAATCAATGGGAACTTGTGGAAAGGGGTAGGACCAGCATGCAACGCCAACAAAAGTTGGGAATTACAACGGTTCTAGATTTGGGGCACCCAGTTTGCTAATGAATGCAGTTATTGCCGTTTGGGTACGGCTAGGTATACCTTAAATCTTCTTACACAAATGGAGAGGCAGTTTTCTTGTGAATGCAGTCCATTATTTCTAGAGCCATAAATATTACCCTGGGCTCACATTTTGCTTTCACAACTGTGTACATTTAGAAGGTGCCTGGGACGAAAAGAACAGGCTGCATTTAAGAAAACATGGAGGAAAGGAAACTTATCTGTTGCCTATAGCAACCGGCTTTAATTCTTAGAGTGCAAGTCACTGAAAAGGAAGGAATCGATTAGTTGGCTATTGACTGAAAACCTCCAGTCCTCCTGCATTAGGCAAAAGAACAGTGTATAAGTGTGTTTCTAAAGACACATTTGGTTAAGGAAATTAGATAGAGTGCAGAACACAGTGCTAACAGAGAAGTATGCGATAAACCATGCAAAAAGCAGGCACTAAAGGATAATATTAATAACACTGTACAAGTTAGCAGTCCTAACACAATGCGCCTATTCTTCCAAAGAAGCCCATACCTCATGAAATACCCTTTAGAAAATGTCTTAGTCATAACACTCAATGCCGTGATAAAACCATCCACTTATGTCCAAGCAAAAGCCAAGATCTTTATCAGCTACAGCCACAATAAAGAACAAGTCACCCAGTAGAGCTCAGCAAAAGGTATAAGGAATGATTAATTGCAAAGGAAAGCATAGGCCTGCCCCCCACAAAAACAGATAAAGGATTAAAAAAAAAAAAAAAACAAAAAAAAAAAAAAACAAAAAACCACAACACTGCATCAACACAAGCACGATTAAAACAAGCTCTTGCAGTGAGAGCCAGCTCAAAACACTGCACTAGTAAACCGAAAAAGAAATAGTTTTTTCTTAATACGTGATAGCTAGCATAATGCTACTAGTGAATTTCCAGCCCATCCTTCAATAATAATTTAAAATTATATACATGGCACTGTGAGGCCTGCACATGCTCATAGGGCCTATTAACATGAAGTGCTGCTAAAATTTACAATACAGTTTGTTTTTGGTTTGACACAGCAACAATTCAATCAAACTGCTACCTGACCTACAAAATGCAAAAGAAAAATAAAATGAAAAAATTAAAACAAAGTCTTTATTGCCCCCACCATCCCCACTGGCTCTTAGGTACTTCAAGAGGAAAGGTATCACCATACGTCAGTCCAAGCTATAGTGCCATCCGCGGAGGCCTGGTGTAGGAAGTGATCGCCTACCTGCTTATGGTTGTATTTCTGGGGATTGGTCCGATAGCTGTAATCCGAGTACTGATCAGAGCCAGTGGAGTTGTTGTCCCCAGTGCCAACAAAGGTGTTGGCAGCCGGTAGGTCTTGTACCACCTGGTGCTTCTTGGAGGCAGATGGGGATTGAGGCTGCAGTTGGATGGATGGTAGGGGGGAGTTCGAGCGGTAATGACGCCCCAAATCTGGGCTCCCCGGAGGGTAATTCAAGGGAAGATGAATTCTTGGGCTGTCCCCAACAGAGTCACTCATGAGATTAAATTTAAGGGACTTCTGCAGCCCACTTTCCTCGTCCTCCTCTACTGGTTTGGGTGGCTTTGGAGATTTGCTCTTCTTTGTTTTGATTTTATTTTTGCTGTTTTTATTACTCTGCTTTGGGGCATACAGATCTTTTGTTTCTTTCTTACCAGCCTGATAGCCACTCTTTGCTTCCTTCTGTCTGCAGTATCGAGCCAAAACCACCACCACAATGACTACAACAACTGCCACAATCCCAGCGAACACACCAAATAAGATGATTCTTTGCTGCTTGTTATGCTCATATTCAGGATCCCCAGCAATATCAATGTTCAATGGAGTATCCTGGCTGTGACCAAGTAGAGTTTCCACAAAGGTCTGGTTTGCCAAAGTATCATTAATATAGAAGTGGACTAAGGCTGTGCCATGCCTGGTAGGTTTTCCTCGATCACTCACTCTGACTACTAAACGGTGCAGGCCATGGTGCTTCCTTAAAATCTGCTTTTCTAGGGTTACTTCACCACCTGTGGGCGTTATTTGAAAAAGTTCATAGGGATTGCCACTAGCATATACTATATACAAGTTCAGCATTAATACCAGTGTCCATGTCCTCAGCTCGCACCTTGTTGACCTGGGTACCCGGGTGTGTAGAAGGGGTGAGATAAGCATATGAACTGTTTGACGGTACAACTATAACTGGAGCATTGTCATTCTCATCAAGGACATTTATAGTTACGCCAACATAGGATGAACGAGGCGGGTCCCCTCCGTCCACCGCCTTCAACCGGAAGGTGTACGTGCTCTGGTGCTCCCGGTCAAAGGAGATGCTGGAAAGGATAGTGCCCGTCCCATTCTGGATAACAAATTCTCCACTCTCAGGCTCCACTGAGAGATGGATATGAGCATTTGCATCCTTGTCTGCATCAATAACTGTGACCATTCCAACGGGGCTCAACCTAGGCATGTTCTCCATTACTGAAAAGTTGTAGCCATTCAGCATGAATTTAGGGTCATTGTCATTACAGTCCAGAACAGTGATGACAACAGAAGCTGTCCCCTTTAGACTTGGGGTTCCTTTATCTGCTGCAACAACATGAAAGTCATAATGTTCCCTCTGCTCCCGATCCAATACAGTGTTGACTCTAATTTGACCGGAGTCTGGGTTGATAGAAAAGATTGAACGAGTATTGGCATCTGCAAGTATGGAGTAAGTTATCTGAGCGTTTGAACCGCTATCGGCATCAGTAGCACTAACTTCCATTACAATATCGTCAGGAGAGTTGTTTTCTTTGAAGGTCTCCTCCATCAGACTCTGGGGGAAAATGGGTGGATTGTCATTCACATCAGTCACTTGCACCTTAAGAGAGTTGGTACTGGAAAGAGGAGGGTTACCAGAGTCAACAGCTACAATTTCTATAGTATATTCTTTTATAGTCTCATAGTCCAGTGGTGTGGTGGTTTGCAAGAAATACTTCTTTTTGCTGTCAGTCCCTGTGTCACTAACCTGCTTCAGCTGGAAAGGAACATCCCTAGCCACAACACAGGTCACAGCAGCATTCTCACCCTCATCTATATCAGAGACTTGTACCAAAGCCACAGGCGTTTCCACTGGAACATCTTCTGATATATTTGCCACACCATCTTGATGTGTTACAAGGCCAAACCCTCTGATGTCAATTACTGGTTGGTTGTCATTCGTATCACGTATGGTAATTGTAACTTGGGTACGTGCAGATTTAGGATTCGATCCTTTGTCCTTGGCCACCACTGAAAAACGCAAAGTTCCTACATCTTCACGATCTATGGGACCCTGTACTGTAATCAAACCGGATGACCTGTCTAGGTGCAGGAGCCTCCTAACAGTATCGGAGGCCTGGTGAAAGGAATAGTCAATCTCAGCATTGGCACCTTGGTCAGAGTCGTTGGCTTTCACCTGCAAACACAAACAAGATAAATTAGGTCAAATATTTTTGACATCTGACATAGTTCAGTTAGTTAAAAAATACAGCAACAAGAAAGAACCAACAAATGCATCCAAAATAAAAATTAAGAAAATGTCAACATCAGTTCCTTTTCTTATTTGTAAATATAAATCCTAGGTCTGGTCTCACCATTTTTTTTAAACCATCAAGTTTGGTATTGCTAATGCAGTTAATTAAAAAGTTGTAACTGTAATGAAACCCTATATTAAACATTAGCTAGTGTCAATTTGCCACAATATCTAAATTGACAAAAACCTCAAAATTCTAAAATGATGATACTTTATGTCATTTTATTACCTTTACTAAATCTTTTTAAAATACTGGCAAACATGAAAATACCAATAAATAAAACATTTTAATGTGTATTAACTACCACCATTATTAAGACATAATGGCATTAAGAAATTCAACACTGTTGCACAAAACTATAGAGAAAGCATTAGCACCACCATTTTTTCTGGTTTTATAGTCTGAAATCAATTCTACGAAATGAATATCTGCCAAAAAGGTCAATATAGTCATGAAGTGTGAGGATTGCTTTGATCACATATTGACGGTGTCAGAGCCACTCATCCATGACGGGCATGATTTTGAACCCTTTAAAACCAGGCTGCCTCAATTATTACGTGGGACAGGGCTCTGATCAATATGCTACTGAATTGAAAACTCCTTGTTTTCCAACTAGCCTAGCCCAAAGCAGATGGCTGAAAGGGAACCATCACAAGCAGGAAATTATCTGCACTGTTCCTCAAGGTTTTATGCTAGCTGCTCAAAACACATCTGCTGCTGCGAGATACTTGCCCACAACTTTTTGACTAGCAGTGCATGTGATGGAGAGAAGGGTGACTTAATCCAACACCCATGCCTTCATTCTATGTTTTACACTGTTAACACTTGCTTTAACAAATGTACTGAACACATTTGCTTTTCGGGTATATGACAAGGTTTCCAGAAACTGTTACTTGAATTTTTTTTAATTTTTCACAGATTTCAACATTAGCCACATTTCTTGGTTTTGCTTCCTAGATTGTAAGCTCGAAAGAGCAGGGCCCTCGAACCTCTCATATACGGTTTTGTTACTGTATTGTCTCATGTACTGCCCCCCACTATATTGTACAGCGCTGAGCAAACTTTTTGGCGCTATATAAACACTGTATAATAATAATAACATAAGGTTGTTACGGACTTCCAAATGCCTCCTTCATTACATAAAATAAAAGGAAGAGTAGGCCCTGCTAGGTGAACAAACCCAGGAACTCCTTTCTCAACATGCCCACACAAAAGTTACTGAGATACAAGAAAACAGATGAATAGACTTACTGGCTCGATTTACTTTTACAAAACGTAGCTTACAATATTGATGATTATATCTGTAGCCTCATTATCAAAAAAAACAGACACACACACAATCCACATATGGCCAATAAGATCATAAAAGAGAGATGTTCCTAGCACAGGAAAGTTAATATATGGCATTTCACAGCCGAAAGAAATATTTCTATCTCTTTTGTACTAAGCTACACCTGTCGTTGAGGAATGTTCTTAGAACATTTTAATGAAGAAAATGTCAGAGCACACAATAAGCTTCTCTGTTGCAGGATAAAAACAAGAGAACCAGTGCCTGAAGGATGATTTGTTCCAAGATTATAGCTTGTTCACAGCAAGCAAAGGTAGCTTTGTTCAGTTACAGTAAACTTTTTCACCAAGATGCTGCCACAGAGTGGCACTGTGCTATACTGTGGAGGAACTCTCCCAATATTTCTGGCCAGTAAATCTGTAAACTTGTATAAAGGTAAAGTAGACCTTGCAGTCAAGTTAAATCAAGGCCCCTTTTCTCTCTCCTATCACTAGATATATGGGAAAGTACCTGCAAGGAACAAAAAAGAAAAAAAAAAAAAAAAAAAAAACGAAAAAATTAGAAAAAACTCACCTAAAGCAGCCCACAGATGATTCAATTTTCTCTCTTTCCAGCACGGGTGGAAGGAAAGGAAATTGCTATAATTCCCCCCCGTCAACACAGTCACTGTAAAATGGAGAGGTGCCTCTCACAATGTTATGTTCTGCTAGCGGGGGAAGCCTTCCTGGCTGGTAGAACACAATGATTACTGCTAGCAGCTATAACCACTGGTGTAAATATATGTAAAAAATCCAACAGGGTGGTTGTACCCAAATCGGTTGATGGATCAACTTGGGTGCAATCAGCCTGCCCATAAAAAAAAAATATAAAAAAGGAACACATCAATACGTGCCATTGCCAGGTTTGCTGTGTCTCAAGAGCATGGAGGAGATTCCAGGAGACAGGTAGTTACTCTAGGAGAGCTAGACAGGGCTGTAGAAGGTCCTTCAGAAGGAACGGTATCTGCTCCTTTGTGCAACAAGGAACAGGATGAGCACTGCCAGAGCCCTACAAAATAACCTCCAGTAGGCCACTGGTGTGATTGTCTCTGACCAAACAATCAGAAACAGACTTGATGAGGGTGGCCTGAGGGCCAATGTCCTCTGGTGGGCCCTATGCTCACTGCCCGGCACCATAGAGTTTGATTGGCATTTGCCATTAAACACCAAAACTGGCAGGTTTACCACTGGCACCCTGTGCTTTTTAGAGATGAAAGCAGGTTCACCCTGTGTACATATGACAAATGTGAAAGGGTCTGGAAAAGCCCTGGAGAATATTATGCTGCTTGTAACATCCTTCAGCATGACCATTTTGGTGATTGTCAGTGATATCCAAGTAGGAACGCACAGACTTGTACAGGCTAGACCAGGGGTGGGCAAACTTTTTGACTTGAGGGCCGCAATGGGTTCATATATTGGACCCGGGGGCCGGACCAAGAGTAGATGAATGATGTGTATGTGTCATCCATAGTAAGTATAGTAATATTCCCCCATAGTAAGCATAGTAATTAATCCCCCATATAGTAATTAATCCCCCATATAGTAATTCATCCCCCATATAGTAATTCATCCCCCATATAGTAATTCATCCCCCATATAGTAATTCATCCCCCATATAGTAATTCATCCCCCATAGTAATTCATCCCCCATAGTAATTCATCCCCCATAGTAATTCATTCCCCCTATAGTAATTCATTCCCCCTATAGTAATTCATTCCCCCTATAGTAATTCATCCCCCATATTAAGTCCCCAAGTCCCCCCTGTGTCAATTCACTTACCTTTGCTCCGCGCGTTCCTCTCGCCGTGTTCCCACGCCGTTCCGGTGTAGCATGAAAATCTGTCTCCTATGAGGATCTGTCCCCCTCGACGTATCTGCGCATGTGCCAGTTTCAGGCATTAGCAGCCGATCGGCGATCTCCGGCACATGCGCAGATACGTCGAGGGGGACAGATCCTCATAGGAGACAGATTTTCATGCTACATCGGTCTTCAGGGCGGACTGTGAGAGGAGCCTAGCTCCGCGGGCCGGATTAAAAGGTCCGCCGGGCCGTAGTTTGCCCATTGCTGGGCTAGACAATGGTACCCTGACTGCCATCAGGTATTGGGATGAAATCCTTGGACCCATTGTCAGACCCTATGTTTGTGCACTGATTATTCCATTGTGTGCCATTATACTTTACTTAACACCCCCCGGGTTTCATATTTGTTGGTATAGTTCTAAGCTTTGTTTGTTTTTCCTTTAACTCATCTATGTGAGACTGTGTAACGTATTGTACTGGCTTTCTCTGATATGATACAAATGCTGTACGTTTCTTGCCCTGGTTTAGGGATAACTTCCCATGGTATATTTCCATGTGCTTGAATTTTGAAAACCCATACATTCCTCTGTAATGCTGTACAATACTGACATTTCATTTCCATTACCTTTGTCTTTTCTCTGTCATATCTTTGGAAAATTAATAAACTTTGATTTAAAAAAAAAAAAAAAATTGAAAATCTGTATTTGAACTTTGCACATCTTTTGCAGTTGACTGCTCAGGACCACAGAAGCAGGGATCACAAGAACACAAAGCTGGCCATACACAGCTAGATTTTTTTCATTCAGTCTGTGAGTGAATTCACTATACAGTGCTGGTGGACAAATCTCGAATTGCGGCTATTGTATTCTGACAGCTTGCTTCAGCAGCTGTCAGAATGCCTGAACAGCAGCTGCATCTGATTGGATGCAGCCCTATGCCGACAATTTTTCATTTGAAAGCTGTCAGGAAAATGTGCATAGTGCATGTCCAGCATAAAACTGTGGCATAGAAATTATCTGAGAAGCAGCCTGGTTTGCATCTTTGTTGCAAATGTGCATGATATATGTCCCCCATGGTTATCAGAACCAGCTGTATTATTTTATATCACAAAACGGTTGTAGATTTTCTAATTATTACTATAAGCAAGTCATGGTGTTTAGATCACTGGTTCTTTAACACATGTGAGTCTATCTGAATAATACAGTATATACTACAATTTGTATGTACAGAAAGAAAGGCCTGTGAAAAAAATGGCTTAAAGTAAGATTGGCACTACATTTCTAGACTTCCTGGGATTTATTATGTGACAAAAGCTGAAGACCCTGGTCCTGGAGTAGGTGTTGGATAGCTCAGGACACACATGACCTCTTGACAGTGCTAATTTGTTGAATCCTGCAAAAGGCCACATCAAGGAAGGAAGAGCACAAAGACAATTAATTCAGGAGTCAGACCTAGAGTCATCCTCTCCAAGAAAGACAGAGAAATAAGCCACCATCCAAAACTCATCCAACCAGTTCTTAGTCAGGCAAAGGCCCAAGTTGTAATACATGGTAGGAATGCAAAAAATCCAGCAAAGCAGTCACCTGGAACCAGTTAACCAGTTTCAGCTTAGAGGAACAGTCACAGTAAACTGTGTTTAGAGAGATCAAAAACTTTTTTTTTCCCCCCCTATTTGTTAACAGGAGACAACACGGCATTCCCAAGGTGCTCTTTCTTATTCATGACTGGCACAACAGTTTTGTAGGAGCCAGAATATGTTAAAGAGCTACTTACTTTACAAAGCACTCTTTGCATTTATGTGGGCCACTTACAAGAAGACTCACAGCAAATTTAGTTTTAAAGTGTAATATTGACCTCTAACTGTCAAACATAAAATAGAAAAAATTTAATTATTAGCAGCTGTGTATGGCTACTTCTCTTTCTCAAAATATCATCACTGTCATTGCTGTAACTCCTCCCACTGACTCAATCACAAAGCAGCGTGGGCACAGATGACTTTTTTTTTTTTTTTTAGGTGTCTGGTTTAAGAAATTGGGGCTATTTGCATACAAGCGGTCTCCCTAGCAGAAACAGAAAAGCACTTTATAGCTTCAACTGAACAGCTTTGCTATGAGAAAAGTTTTGTTTGCAATTGAGATACTGTTTATTTGAAGGCAGAAAATACCTGTTGCAGCATTTGTCCACAAAAGACATGCCACTGTTTATACACTATTACAAAGGATTCATAAACAAGGCCTTAAAATGGTATTAGGTTTGGCTTTTTTTTATTTTTTAAATGACATGTCATACTTACCTGCTGTGCAGTGGTCTTCTCGGGTCACCAGTCGGCACTCCTGGCTCCTCCCCCTTGACCAGGGCCCCCAACAACAAGCCGCTTGCTATGGGGGCACTGGTGCATCTTGCTCTCAAGCTGTATGCATCCATAAGACATATAGAGCTGCAGCTAAGCCCCAGCCCCTGCCCCCGCTGTCTCATTGGCTCACTGGCTGTGATTAACAGTCTCAGCCAAAGAGGAAAGGGATTTCTAGGACAGCCAAGGCTCTTCTGCACACGGCTGGATTGCAAGGGGGCTCAGATGAGTATTAGGGGGGCTGTGGGGGGAGCAGGTAAAAAACCTTCTGCCTTTACAACCACTTTAAAAGTAAATTTATCAAGAGAGACATACATACGCCTTTGTGAACATCTTCTGAAAATGCTCCTTGCCTGGCTGTTTATTAATGTTTTGACTTCAATACTTTGGTTGTCACCAATTTAAAACAGAGAGGCAAGTTAATCTGACTGTTTCTATGCTTTCTTACATGCTTGTCTCAGGTCTGTGACTCAAAAATAATGAAACCAACCAGGCAACTACCATTTTCATAAGGATGCCAGCAACTGCAGCATCCATATTTATTTAATAATAGTTATTCTAATAGGTAGACATTGGGATCACAGAAGCTATTGTTGGGTTCAGGTACCCATAGACATTAGATATTCAACTGGAACCTTTAGAGAAACAGGATATGATTGTTGCAGGAGGATACGTTGTTCAGCTGCACTCGATTTCTCAACCTATTCTAGTTTCGGAGATATAGCCAACTCCACAGGTATCTTTTCTCTAATAATATGCACCCCCAGGCATAGTGACCATTTGGGTATGGTTGAGTTGTAGGAACATTTATGAACGACTGAATCCCCCTTTTTGCCTATGCCAAATCCTAAAGCTATAGCCTTAAACAGTCATGCACTTAAGCTGCCTTTTTCATTTTTATTGCAGCAAAGAACAGAATTAGACCTTCATTTACTGGAGCACAGCAAATTACTGCTCTTAAAAAAACAAAAGTCAGGCCATTTAAGACATACTGAAAAGTAAACAGACTAAAAACAAAAGAATGGCAATCTACCTCAATATTGGCCTGCTGTGGCTACATGGACAACATTTTTCAAAAGTTAATTTATATGCGAATGTATGCACTTGTTGTAAATTACCTGCATAACTCAGCCATGACATATAATATATCCAGGCTATAGAATGAGGGATCATTAGCAGCAATTTCTCAACTGAAGAGTTGTATCTTTGATGACATTGATCTTATGTTACCTGCCTAATGTGATATAAAACAACAAAACGATAACTAAATTGAAAACAGAAGAACCACCTTTTCAGAAAGCTGCATTTTAACAGGAAAGACTTTAAAAGTCCCCTGATTGCTTTTAACTTGATAAGGGCTTTATTTACCACATTAAACATTTTCATCCAACCGCTGCTTAATCCCTTCAGGCTGTAATCCTGAACAAAATGGAAGAGCCACTCCATTAGACACACAGCACATACTCTGATTACTTATCCGACTGAAAATAGGTAGGCATTCATGCCGACGACTTGTCTTCTGCTCTGAATCTAACTAATGAAAACGGTTTTAAAAAGTACAACAAATATACATTATAGAGATTTGGGGCTGAGCGTTCTCTACGTACCTGGAGTACAGAGTGCCCCATTGGGCTGTTTTCGGGTAGCACTGCCTCGTAAGCCATCTTTTCAAATTTGGGAGCATTGTCGTTGGTGTCCAGGATGGAGATACGCAGTAGGGCACTGCTGGCTCGTGGGGTCTTGCCACCATCTTGAACTTTAATTGTGAGATCATAGGAGTCTCTTTGCTCCCGATCGAGATTTCCCATGACAATGAGCTGAGGTTGTTTCTCATCTTGGTCCTCGGCTACTTGCAGTCCAAAAATTTCATGTGCTTCAGGGGTCACAATCAGCTCATAGGATGCCACCCCATTCACTCCAGAATCCCGGTCAGTAGCAGCAGGGATTGGAAAAAGCATTCCGATATTTGTGTTTTCTGGAATGGACAACATGAGGACTGGAGAGGCAAAATTAGGACTGTTATCGTTTATGTCCAAAACCTCAATCTGACCATCGATAAGCCTGGGAACAGGGGACATAAGGTCTGTCATAGACACCTCAAACTCCAAGAAACATGCTTGGCCTGGGAACAAGTTCTGGCACTCACGCAGGCTCTCTCGGTCAATGGCAGTCTCAGTTGTGTAGATGTCCCCTTTCGTGCCATCCACTCGGAGGTAAGGATGCCCCAATTCCAGCTTGTACAGGTGCTTGGAGTCTGGATAGCCATAGTCAGCAGCCAGACTTCCAATCAAGATATTTGGTGGCTGCTCTTCCTCTACTTTGTATTTCACCTGGGTGGAAGAACCAATAAGGGGAAGTTGAAAGAAAAGCCATAGGTAGAAGCATGATGCTGCCTTCTTCATCCTTGGTTTTAGCAAGTGTGGCCACTCTGCAGAGAAAACAGAAACAAGATTAAGGCCAGGTAAACTATTGCCCAATCAGAAAGCAGCAGTTACTCTCATGCTAATCAGTGAAACTCTGAAGGACACCCTGCTGTGGAATGCAGGTGTCTGTTCCTGATCATTCTGTTCTGTCTGACTTGTTACACATTCAAAACTAGAGCTGAACAGAACTGAAAGAAAAGCTGTTGTCACATACACCTAGCAATTGTTCCTAATGTGACACAATGAAAAGCCACACCTGTGTGATTAGATAAGTTCCTTAACAGGTGGCATGCAGAGAGTTTAATCATTCACAGTGAGGGGGAGAAATGACAGACTCAGACAGATTAGAGCAAAGAAAAAAAAAATGCAACAATATACGTACTGCTAATCAACTCAGCACATGTACAAAGAATGCAGAAAGGGCAGTAATAAATGTGTCATACTTCATACAAGGTTATGCAATATGCAAATGGGACAAAGATAGCACTGAGTTTTCATACAGATGACCGATTCCCCCCCAGGTAGCCAAATGAGGCATCTGCCAGCTCATCTCTAGGTCAACCTAAAAATAAAACCTTTGTATTTTAAATACAGTGGGGCAGGGTAAGCACCCCCCCCCCAATCAGGTTTTAACTACTATTCAGGGCTCTGTTGGTTTTCTCCTCGCTTACTTTCCCGGTGACGTTGGTTTCACTAGACAGGAAATGAGAAGCAATAAAGTTTTTTTTTTTTTTAATTTTTTATATATATATATACACACATACTATATATATATATATATATATATACACATATATATATATATATATATATATATATATATATATATATACACACATACATACACACACACACACACACACTGTATATATATATATATATATATATATATATATATATATATATATATATATATATATATATATATATATATATATATATATACATACACACACATATATACACACACACACACACACACACACACACACAGCAATGCAACTGATTTATCAAGTCTACAAGTTCAGCTCTCTTTTTTTTTTTTTTTAAACCGCAAAAAAGCCCAAAATTCTCTCTCTAGAATATAATTGTTTGTCTAAATGTTCAGTTGCCATTTTTTACTGCTGGGAAAAAAAAAAAAGGAAAGGATCCATCATCTGCTTGACATCATCAGTCCATTAGTATTAGTTTTTTTATATGTTCAAGGTGCTGAAACACTCAAACAAAAACTAAAACGCTAAACAAAACAGACATTAAAGAAAAACAATAAACATTTAATTAGCAACCTGCATTGCAGAAAGCTATTCGACTGCGAGATCTTCCTGTTCCTGAATCTGTGCCACTATCAAGATAATCGCTAGATAAACTCCCTCGCCCGGCATCTTTCAGCTACACTGAAACCTTTTAGAACCGGTGTGACTGGCTGCAACAAATCAGCACACAGGCCTCAATTAAAGAAAAGGCTCAGCCCTTATTGGATAACATTTCATTAAAATTCTTCCCAAACTGAAACTGTCGAGTCAACAGTAAAATAGGTACCAAACTAAGAATAATATAGTGATAGTGACTCAAAATGTCAATATTTAAATAGTCACATATAGTATTAATTAGTATGCTGGCACTTCATAAGAAAAGCAGAATCATTTTCCTAATCTTGGATAATGAATGATGAGCACTACAAAAGTGAGAAATATCTTAAGTATGAGTAAAATCAACCACCCATTACACTGGAATATGTTATAGATAGCATCTGTCACTATGTAAATGTGCCTACATTGACGTCAGCTGCCAGCACACAAAGTGGAGATGACTCAAAATGGCATTTGCGACCCATTTTTAATGATCTGGATGCAATTAGAAACCTTGTACCAAATTCATGAAAACCCTACATTTTCTTGGTTAGTATGGACATGTGCAACAAATTTAATTACTTATTTGTGCCACTTTCACCATTTTTTTTGGTCATAAGGAAAGTGAGGATAAACAAGATCTCTTCCATTTTGGAGGAAATTGTTGACTGCCTCTCATGCGTTATTACTGTGTTGCATCGTCAGGATAATTCTGTGCCAAAAAGTTCCTCTGCTGTTGTGGACAAGCCCTTACATCCCTACTTGCCCATTGATCGACTTGTCTACAACTAGCCTGTCGGATTTTGAGCATTCTATTATGGGATATAACCACTAGCAGTAGTCAGTCATTCTATTCTGCCAACTGGAAAAGCCCCCCAAGTTGGCCAAATACAACAGCGCTGCAGGAGGCATTCCCCCATCACTCCAGCAATTTTCTTTCCTTCCACCCATGATGGAACGAAAACAAATCAATTAACCTATGGCTTGCCTAAAGGGTATTCCTGAGCTTCCTGAGAAGCACTAGTAAACTTCAAATTAGGGATACAGCTACGACCCCTTTACAATCCATCATTGGTACTTCAATGTGATGGGGAAAAAAAATTTAACACTTTAGCAATAACAATACAGGGTAAATTAAGGCCCCTTTGATGGCCCGAAAACTGCTGAATCTGTCGCTAGAGATGGGAATGACAAGCGGCTGCCTCAGCTAGCAAGGTAGCGACTCCACATGGACAGACAGGAAGCTACTTTGTAATCATGATGCTGGCAATTTTTCCATAGTGGGAGAATCACCCACCTGACATCAGCCTTTAGAAGCAATGATACACTGCAATGTAAGGATCACCTGAGCATAGATGTTTAGGCCCCATTCACACTTGAGCCGAATGGCTTTGGGGTTTTTTTTTTACCATTTATACAGGCGTTTTTGCAAATAATTTTTGTTTATTCTTAGTCATCAGAAAGTTACTAGACAAGAAAAATACAGTTTGCTAGGTGTTCTCCTTAGGTCTATTGGGGTGTGCAACTGTACCCCAGAAGCAGCTTTTTCAAGCAACAAGCTTCAAGTGATATGCTCAGATGTGAGCATGCACTACTGAGTTTATCCGCTTGAAGACCAAGCCTTTTCTGAAACTATGTTTGCATGTAACAATTAGTAATTTTTGCTAGAAAAAAAATTCTTAGAAATGCAATTGTTTGGGAAAAAATAAACTTTTTAAAAAAAGTTTAATGCAAACACACACACAATAGATAATCCAATTTTTTGGTAAAACATAAAAGATACATTTTTACACCAAGAAAATAGATACCAAACATGTCACGCTTTAAAACTGTGCACACCCATGCAACGGTGGCAAACTATGTATATTTTACTATTCATAGGCGACGCTTTAAAAGCCTTTACAGGTTACCACTTTAGACTTTACAGAGGAGGTCTGGTGCTAAAAATTACTGCCCATCATGGGCTTGCAGTGATACCTCATATGAGTGGGACCATCAGTGTTCACGTGCGTGCGGTCTGACGCATGCATTCACCTTTGCGCGCGCGAGCATGGGGGGGCAACTTAATTTTTTTTTAGCACTTTTATATAAACATCCCTTGTAATAGAAATAGACATGTGACAGGTACTCTTTATGAAGAGATCTGGGGTCTATAAGACCCCAGATCCCTCCTCTGCTCTTAAAAGCATCTGATAACACCAAAATCGGTGTGATCCAGGGGCGGACTGACTATTTGGAAACTTGGGCACTGCCCCAGGGGCCCGGGGTCAGTAGGGGGCCCCATGAGATGCCCCTGGTACCTTTTTCATAGGCTTTTTTGAGTTTGGGTAAGGACACAGGGGCCCCATGATCCCCTATTGCCCGGGGGCCCCATGAGTTGTCAGTCCGCCCCTGCTGTGATCAGATGCTTTTTGTTTTAAAAAAGAGCACTATTAACTACAGTTTAAATCAGAAGTGAAGTGAGGTCATTGCTTCCAGGTTACTAGTCGAACAAGGACAATCCGGACTTTGTTTGCCTCTATGATCAGCCTGCAGAAGTGTTGGCTGGTTGGTCATGACTCCTGGTGGGACAGGAGGTAAAGCCGCAGAAGGATATCACCTTCTGCTGCTTGTAATAACAATCCAGCAGCTAGTTAGTCGCTCCAATTGTCATTACAAGAGGGCCAACCATTGGCTCTAAAAAATGGTACCGGGATAATGCCTGAAGCTGCATACGGGTACTTCGCGGGAACTCAAGTGGCTAAAGGAAGCTCTTTTGGTGAAGCTTCAAATTGCTCGGTGTAAACAAAGCCTTTTATTACAGCAGATGAACAGACATAACCAAATTTTTCCCACTAGTACGCTTAACTCATTTTCAATGCAATTTTGGTGCATTTTCTGGATTCCTGTGACTCCTAGCTTGCACCTGTGAAACATGGACATGTAACTCAAAACCGTGCCAAAAAAAGCAACCACCAGTGTGTTTTTGAAAGGCTTTCCATTCATTTCAATAGGGAGGTGCCTTTTTGGTGCGCTTTTTAAAACATGCGCTAAAAACAGCATGCAGGACTTTTAGAGTCCTTTTACATTCATCCATTTTATGAAGAAGAATTAAAAAAAAAAAAAAAAAAAGTGAAAGAAAAAAAAAATGCATAAAAAAAGTATTCCTTTAAATCCTATGGAACTCATCACACCAGTGCACTGCAGGTGTGGTGCATTTTTAAAAGTCCTCACTGCTGCTTCTTTGGTGCCACATCTTTAGAGAAAACACACCACTCATCAAAAAACACCCCTGTGGTGCATTTTTGTTTCATGTCCAAGTTTCACAGGTGCATGATTGGAGTCAGGAGTCCAGAAAATGCAGCCATTGTGCATATGCATTTTACAGCGTTTTTTTTTTTTTTTTTTAAAGGAACAGTGTGAAAGCAGCCTTTAAATATGCATTGCGCACGCAGCGCATTGCTGTGGTGTTCCATAGGATTTAAAGGGATACATTTTTCATGCATTTTTGTTTCGCAACTGATGAGCGTGAGAGGGCCCTATCACACATTTCGCTCTCACCCGGTCGAGTGGTGGGACAGATTTTTCCTAGTTGGTACCACTGAAATGAGACTTTCGGCATGTCTGGCCAAAACCAACCAATTTAGCAGACTACCTTCTCATGTAAATTGACCAATCTC